TTATTCCAGTTCGTGTGAAATGATCGGTTGGTTTTGCCGTGATGTTATTGGCTGTAAGACTCAAGTGACGTAAGTCGGTCGTGATTGGTCTGTTTCGGTCTGTCGGTAAAGTTAGGTTGTTCTTTTTCGGTCGTTTGTGATGTTTATGTCGTGAATGAGTCGTTTGTATGGGGCGGGTAGTTGTTGACATCTGTTTAGGGGAGTCTGTTCTAAGTTAGTAAACCAGCTTACTAGACTGACTGAACACAGACGGGCGACGAGGAAAGGTGATGTCAGCAATCACATTGCTGAACACCATCGACTTACCAACCACAACATTGACTGGGACTCTGCGCAATGCCTAACCTACAGCACTGACTATTTTCAACGACTGACTCTGGAAAGCTGGTTTACTAACTTAGAACAGACTCCCCTAAACAGATGTCAACAACTACCCGCCCCATACAAACGACTCATTCACGACATAAACATCACAAACGACCGAAAAAGAACAACCTAACTTTACCGACAGACCGAAACAGACCAATCACGACCGACTTACGTCACTTGAGTCTTACAGCCAATAACATCACGGCAAAACCAACCGATCATTTCACACGAACTGGAATAAGAACATTCTACTGACAACAATCATTCACTTGACTCTGATGATGACTTCCGCACAGGTTGTCGAAACGTCAGTCACTGCCACCGACAACAGTCCTTCTCAGGACTACACTCACCCGGACGATCAGACTACACCTTCACATGTTACCCCCGGGTTCAAACCATTTACTGCATAACGGATTCTGCTAGTATTTCTAGCCTTAAACATAAAGCTTCTTCATTTCTTGGTAATACTTAGAATTTTTAGATTTGATTCAATGTAATACTTAGATATCAAACTCTATACTAAGATAACTGTTTTTTAATATTACATCTTACTGGGGAGTATCCCTCGTATGGTGTCTAGGACGCTGCCTCTCCATCATCATTATTTATTTATTCTGTTTATGTTTATGTCTATGAATTTATTTATGCATCTCTTTAGTAATTTAATTTAATATAGATTTGGAGAAACTGTAATAAATAAGTAAATAAATAAATAAACCACAAATATGCATACATTAAGTCATATGCACTTTAAACATTGAAAATTAGTAAAGTTCATCGAGCTCCTGTAGCTCGAAAAGACTAGTTGCCAAAAATGTTTTTGTTGTTTTCGGCACACGAGCCCTAGTACTAAACACGGACAGTGGTGAGGACTCCAGATCCCGTTATACTTTTGAGAAAAGCGTCTTGGAGCAACAGCACACTAGCTCAAATTTGGAAAGTGCTGTTTCTGTGGTATTTTCAAAACAGCGTAATTCTTTATTGTTTGGTCAGAATATACATATTTTGCTACTAATCAACAGAAGAGATGTAAAATGATACCACATGTCCGATTTATGCTATTTTAACAAATGCGTAAGTTTTTAGAGCCTCCAGCGAAACGCTGAAAATTAACTCTGAAATCAACACTTTTCTTTGATTTTGACCGTCTTCACATCTCGTCGCCAAAAATTTGATAAAATAGCATTGCGAACCAAATAAATATAATTTTCGGCGATAGATTAGATCAAATATCTCAAAGTAAAAATTTGAGGGAATTCTGTGATCGGCAGAAATTCGAGTGGTCGGTTCTTACGCGGACAGCCTCCTAACTAAGGGGGTCTCACAGCTGTTTTTCTTACGATAAGCTGTCAGGTTTCTGTTAAGACGAGGCTCCATGAAAATAGTTAGCTGTTTACCCTGTAACTGTTCGAAGGCTTTCTCTATAAAAGGGTTAATTTCGTTAAATGAATGTCCATCCACTGCCAGCTTTCGGTCCTCTAGACACAATCGGTCACAAAAGTAAATGTTCAGAACTGAAGAAAGATTTAGTTCAACTGAAAATAGTTTAGAGCGCAGTTTTATGAAAAACGGGTAATCTTTGTTCAAATAACCAGCCCTATCTGTTCTTTAAAGCTTTCTCTTTTCCTCGCGCTTCGCTCTCTCGCAAAACTGTTTGCATCCCAAAACTTGTCTGCGGACAAATATCCGTGCACTTTTTCGCGCCAAATGAAGGCTATCGTTTCTAGAATCCAGGAGACTAAGTCGACAAAATTCTCTTTGCCTTCGGCGAGTAATTGTTAATTGGTCAATTAATATTTATCACTCCCGTACATCAAGTGTCCTTTACATACATAGATACATACATAAATACTTTAATTGTCACGTTGGTCGAT